TAGCAGTAAACAAGAAAAAAACCCAAACAATTCAATACTCAAATGAAACAAGACTGGCTTTATCTGGCAGTACCAGATCCTCTTAAATAGCTTCAATTTTTTTAATAAATTGGGACATTTCTTACTCTTGTATATGAATTCATTAATGTTCCTAAAACACCCTGAATAATAAAAAAATAGAACACAGAAGACAACAGAGACAAAAGAGGTCCCTTTGCTCATCCTTCTTTTCTCTGCCAAGGCAGCCATACCTACAGCTTGTATATTTTGCAATATTTTGAAGGCTAAGAGGCAAACTCTTCCTTAAATTATCATGCAAGGATCAGGCTTACAAAGAGACAGCACATGTACAGTAATGAGCATTTTCCTACGGATGATGGACACTCTCTTTTTATAAGAGACATCAGTTTTTTCTCTCCTCAGTGTGAATACATTACTCAATTGGTTACAACTAAATAACCCTTGCCCAAACAAAATGTACACTTAACTCTTTCAGTATTTAAAAAACCACAGTTTGTTTTTTTTTTATCCTAGTTATCCTAACATTGTCGATGCAACATAGATTCACAGTAACAAACACAAACCGAATAATAACTGCTTGAAACAGTGAACCTCCGAAGAGGAAAGCATTTTCCCTCCCTCCCCAGCTGAGAAACTTCTGGATTTTCTTCAGAAACGTTTGTCAGTGGTACAGGCACTTCTGCAGGAAAGGTCATTATGTGATTCCATGTTGCCGCTTCCGACTCCAAATTAACGCACTGAAGTTACAAAAGCAGCACCATGAAAGAGGAGGCACAAAACCGGCCAGACAATTCAAACGCACTTGGGGCTCACAGCTAGAGCTCCCCTGATTTCATAACCCACGTGTGACCACTGCTCGTTTGATGTGCAGCGGCCAGAATACCGCCCCACAGACACCCGTACAACCCTACGGCCTTCAGACCACTGAAGTGCACACGCACTGACCTTGCTCCTTTCACACCTGCATCATTAATTACCGCCGGCAATCAGCAGGCTCTCATTTCCTCAGGGTTGTGCACACCCTGCGCTGGAACAGGCACTGGTCACAAGCTGCGGCTTTGTTAGCGGGCAGGTTGCCGGGTCTCTGCACGGACTTCTAAGCCGATCTCAAGTGAAAAAACACAATTTTTTTCCCCTTATCATTTTTTTTTCAGGTGTCCTGTGGTGTATTTCTTTATGTTCCCAAGCAGCACCTCCGGGCAGCTGACAAAGTTTCTGTTCCAACAGATGCCTGTTT